TCCTATCTTCGCGCGCTATATTTGTTTGGATCGGATCCGGAATTTGCGGTGCGGAGGACTCGCGAGCGCTGTGGGGCCGGATGAAGGGGAGGGACCAAGGGGCCCGGGCCCTGGGTCAAACTTCCATGCATTCTATCTTAAAAAGGATCGCCTCGAAGTGCAAATATTTAAACTCACCAGGATACGAACTTAGGACCTGTTTACCGGATAGAGGCTATTGCTAATTAGTACAAATGGGAAGAAAGGTGAATATGAAACACAAGGTCCCGGGTTTGTTTCCTACTGGGTTAAAATATTTGCACTTCGTGGCAATCCATTTTCAACAGGGTCATTTGATGCAACAGAATTTTTCCAATCTGGTAACAATTGTCTTCATAAGACAGATCCATCTAATGCAATTGTTAGCCTATGGTTGGCCATTTGTATTGCTTCCATTTCATTTTCGGTTGGGTCTGCATTTTCTGTTTTGCCACTGTCTTTTCCCACTTGACATGAAGAGTTGTATGTGGGAACTATCATTGCTTCGCGTGGCAAATATAGCTTTACCGACAACACTTCTCAGTGAAACTCTCATGGTTCTCAAATATGACGAGGAGGAACCCTACCTAGCGCGCGGCGATGGCCTAACGGTTAGCGTATCGGACTGTTACGGTGGGTTCAAACCCGAACGAAGCCGTGGATTTTTGAGGGCGAAAAAATACTTCGTACGCCTTCTTTCGAAAGGGAAGTAAAACCAGCTGGCCCATGTTAGTAGATTGACTTGCATGTAAAAGATCCTCAAGCCTAAATGACGCCTCTGAGCTAAATTCAAATCGCCTGTTTCTCGCCCAAGAAATACATCCTTTCTCTGCTAGTTGGTGAAAGGAGCGTATGCAAAATTTGCGTGATTAGATGGAAGAACGGGCCTTATGGCCTGAGTCCCTCCACGTAAAATAAGGCATCAATTCAATTAAATTCAATCTATTTCAAGAAAAACAATGTGAAGCATTTTTCAGAAAATATCAAAAATGTTGAAGAGGCTTCATGTAAAGAAACCACAAATATCGACTTCTCCGTTTGAAATTCGGATTGTCTTAAGTTCAGATAGATCCGTCTTGGAATATCAATTATGGAGAAAAAAATCGTCCCCGGTTTGAATAACTACTGTCCAAAATTCTCAAAATTTTACTCAAACTCGCGCTAATCCTATTCATATATCCATGAAAATGGTGATTTCTTTTTCGAAAGGGACGTTTGTTATGCAATAAATTTATTCTTGATTGACATACGTACGAAAAGTATCAGAGGTGGTCATAATGTATGTTTACGAATACGTAACATGATGCGAATTTCTTTTACGTTTCCTTTCTTTCACGAATGATACTTCCAGATTTTGTGTAGTGTTTGTGGTGTTAAGTGCACTTAAGTTAAGAATGCTCAAAGTTAATAAAATTGCTTGTTATTTTTGTTATTAGGTCTTGATGTAAATAAGTTGTGAACCTAGGTTTCAATATATAATACCATCATTGACAATCGTCAGTGAGCTATGCTCAGACAGCACAAGTATTTGGGAGTCTGGGGCTTCTGAAAGACGGAAAGCAGAAGAAGCAATAATGAAATCAGCATAAGAGATGGCAAATATAAGAAAATTGGGTCAGTTCTTCACAGTTCAATCAAGACAGGTGTCGAAAAGGAGTAATGACTTTGCAGAACCTGATCAACTTGGCAATATTTCAGTAAAAATGATCGTTGGCCCTGGCAAAGAAAAGGCAGAAGTAGCAACGGGTTCAGTTGTAGAATATGTAGAGGAGGAGGTTCATAGTGGGTCATCTTATGTAGAAGCTTAAGTTGAGGGCCCATTAGAGAGCAATGGTATTGTACTTTGGCCATCTATTATTTCGGAACAGAAGTGGGATTACTGGCTGAAAAGTTGTGTATCAACAATCCTGCACTGTGGTAAGTTTGTTCGTTGTACACTCGGTTGAGCAACCTACAAAGGACCGCAATATTCCACGAATGCGCACACTTGGGCTTTTCCGTCGTCGTATATCATAATAGAGAAGTCATAACGAGGACTTGGTTATGATTTTCTTCCTGTAATGGTCGTTTTTACTGCTTCACATGCAGATTGATGTACTTAACTACAGCCCCTGAGTCTTCTCAGCTTTTGTTTAATATATTCTGTGATTGGAAACATTCACAAGAGCGTATACAAAGCCATGAGCAGTCAACGGAAGATCTGAAAAATACGATTGCTTTGAATAGGAGATTAAAAGAGATTCAGCGAATTGATGCGAAGTTGTCACAACAGGTCTGAAACATTACTGGAGATCAGTGATGAAACGAGTAGTAAATGTTATTCAGTTTATAGGCGAGCGTGGCTTAGCATTTAGAGAATACGACTCGATTGGAACACCTCGAAATGGAAATTTTCTGGGATATTCTTGAGCTCATCGCTCAATACGATGACTTTCTTGAAAAACTGTTCGCCGTCTTCACTGTTTCAACATCTCGCCATCTGGGGCTTTGAAAATTATTAACTTGGCATTGATTCTTAAACAAGTTATAACGCGTTGATCCTGCAGAGCTGACGTAACTAAGACACTAAAGAATGAGTGCCATGTTATACTAAGAATCACAACGATTTTTTACTTTTCCCTGATAGGATGTCTAAGATGTTATATAAAAAGCTCAGACCTATCAAAATGACGGGTTTCCATCCTTTAATTAGTATTTGTAAATATCGTAGTTAAATTTCAGAGTTCAGGGCTATTTTCCTTAACTGTGAAGAATATATATTAAATATTAAAAGCACAAAGCTCTGATTTTACACACTGTGTACATTGTTGAGAATCTTAGAGAAAAAGTGGACCACCCATCACAATGACGGGCGCCGTCCTCTGTGTTGAACAGATTGCTGATGACTGAAGAAAAAGGCTGTGTACGGTGCGAAGCAGGACTATTAACCGAGATCAATCGCCTTCAAATTGGTATTTACACCACTTTCTGGAATGATATCCTGTAAAGATCAGATGCCACTGGTAAAAATCTAAAACGCAAAAGTCGATCTAAATACTGCGTCACTGACTAGCTTAAAAAAATAATGTTGCTTCAAAACATCACACCGCACCGTTGCATCAAAACATCACACCTTCGAAACTTATGAGAAGCAAGGCGAAGAGCTGTCTGGTTCAACAGAGTAAGTTCACGCGAAAACTGGACACAAGCGCCGAAGTCGGCGTCTTAACCCATTGGATTATGACCATACAGAAGTACAACTCAGCCCTCTGAAAAATACAGAACATAAGCTTTCTTGCCTGTTATTGATTAGTTTATCGCTTCTCTTGACCAACTTCATCAAGTATATAAATATATTTCAAACCAATTTACCCTTTTAAGCGATTGAAAGGCTTGCCTTCAGGCGAGCTTAATGCCGCAGCAGAACAACTCGTGGGGTCTTATTCAGATGACTTGGACATTACATTTATCAATATGTAAATTTTGAGTATCGTAAGCATCGGGATAGATATATTGCATAAATTGGACTTTAGTGACATCATAAGTGATTTTGCAACACGAAAAACAAGGAAATTGCTTGGACTGTAATGTATATCGTGATTCGTAATTCATTTATGTGCTATTTATTAGGGTTGAAGACCGGAATTTAATGTACTAAAACTCTCTAAACCGTGTAGTAAAACCCCAAAACGTGCAAAACAATGCAAGAAAAAAAGATCAATACTTTGCGAAACAGCGTTAGGTGACTTAAAAACTCCAGTTAATCCATTTATCGACTTATTTTTATATTTTGAATGCGATATTTAAGATGAATGAAATATAATTATCTTATTTTTATTATAATTAAGTCTGTACACGTTGTTTTAACAAACCATATTTACATTTTAAATATTATTTGCATACAAAATTAAATTATCATAAAACACAAACAAGTCAATACAAAAATAGAAAAATACAAATATACCTTCAGAAATCCAAAATAATTAAGACAAGAAATGTTCGTAATTGTTTTCATTATAATTTACAATTATGCATAATTCGGAATTATTTTCTGAGAACTTAAATCTTCTATCAATTAATATATTGCAGACAGGAAAACATCGTTCTACTTTTATACCAGTCTGTGTGCCGAGCCTCACTCTGACGTACGTGTGAACGCGGCTAAAAGAGGTCGAAAACTATGTTCATTATTTCTTGTACCTCTCAGCACGTCTGTTCAGAGAAATTCGATGAATTTGAAACGCAATGCAGATTGTCGCTAAGCATCGCGCCCGGACATAAGTTCAAAGGTGACTCGCGCATGCCATCTTGTGTTGGTGAGTTCATCAAAGACTGACAAAACGAATATATGACACGTTTGGGAAGATCGAGAACATAACGTTTGCTGAGGGCTGCAACCAATGACAGTGTATCCCTGTTTTAGAAACAGAAAATTTAATTAGGCAATAGATATCATGAAAGGTACAGACGCTCAATTCATAGGGCAACAAAATGCAGAATTGATAGATATTAGATGGTACTCGGTTGTCACAGACCACCCAAATGCACTGCTGGGTTGTCATAAAACTTTTTTATTAAATTGAAACCTTCAAAAAAAGATATATTAAATCAAGTTGATAATATAAAATTATACTTTATGCAATAAAATTATGAATCTTGCACATTCTTCCAGTAAAATCCCAAAATTTTCAATTTTCTGGTATTATTATCTAAAACGTGCAATATCGTGCAGTAATCCCCAAAAGTGCAATTTCGTGCAAAATAAAACGAGTACTAAAATTACGTCCGTTCCAGTATTCAAATTTTTGCCAAGGTTTCATCCAATTTCAAGTTACCAAAGAAAAGATGCAGTAACACGGGATCCAATTGTTAGTTATGATATACTAAACGTTTAAAGAATATTTTATATTTTCTTTTGTAAGTAAACTTGTGTTCATTTCATATTTTCAAAACCAATTTTGTAAATAAACTTGTGTTCGTTTCATTTCGTGTTTTTGCATTACATATTGCAACCCCTTGAAACAATGGGCCTCCCACCAAACTGGGGCCCGTGCCACCCACATCTTCGATCCGGCCCTGGAGCACTGGCCGTGGGGGCGGGGAGCAGCGGCCGGCCAACTCTGCGACGCCGCGCCGCGAGCCCTACACACACATACGCACGCATCCTCTATTAGCCACTCGTCATTGAAACACACACACAGTCGTAAAATACATTTATAAATATTCTATTTCAGTTATATTTTACATTCTCGTGCGTATATCGACCTAATAACTTGTGGTGATACAATAACACATTCTTTTGCATTATTTCTAAATTTGGAGCATTTGAAAATTCGGAGCATTCAACGAAAAATGAGGTCTGAGCCATTCTTTTAAAGGTTCCTTGTTCTATCCGTGGAAAACAATACAGCAGTTTTTGAGAAAATATTTTTTGTAACGCATTAATTTCAAGCACAAGTTATGCAAAAACTATTGGAATTTACAAAAATGTGTAAAACACCTGTTTATAAAGAGCTGATTTGTTTGGAACAGATTTCGTTTGTGCCAAAAATCTTTATTTTCAACTTAGTATTTTTGTTTTATATGTGAAGTTTTGCAATTTTCAAAAATACAGAGTTAGCCAAAATCAGACTTGCAATACTTTTTTACCGTATTTTGATATGCACGAGGAAAAAACGTATAGAACATATATATTTACATTGCCTTTTTCACTCAAAATTGAACAAAAACTTGTATTTTCGAATGGACTATTGTACAGGACTTTATTTCAAGATCTGTTCGGAAAAACGGATTTTATTCTAAAAAAACTTAACACTACTGTCGTCGAAAAACAGAAATTTCGTATACTCATGCATTACAATGAAAATTTGCCTTCTCCAAAACGTTCTTAACGTTATCCGAAAACGAAGTTTAATAAACAATTTTGGAGCCATTTTTAAGAAAATTTTTTAAACGTTGTTGAGGCTTTATATAAGATACTCAAACTGTACACCTTTTGCTGGCGCAAGTATCATGAATAAAAAAGATACATTTGCTGCTTTACGAGCAGTCCCTTCGTAGACATAAAATCGACAATATTTTGGTTTCAGAGACTTCGGTCAAGAGAAATTTAAATGTCAACTCTCCAGAGGAAAATCAGTGTTTTTCTTTTTTAACGGAGCTCACACGTAGCTTTATAATTCTTAACGATACATGAAACATGTTATAGTAAACAGTATACATTAGAGTCCTATGCTGACAACAACTCAAAATGTACAATTTGCAACATACACATTCTGTATATTAATTTTTTATCACTTAACCATGATGCAAAGTTTGCCTATATTTTGAGATTATGATTGAGAGTGCGTTTATTTTTAATAGCTAAGGATCTTCCAGAGTAATATTTACACCACGTAGATAATAAGGGAGAACCTTTTTGGATCGCCCGCAGGCCAAGGATGGACAAAGCAAGGAGCATGATGAGAAAGACGAGCCCCACCACCCACCACACAGGAGGCTCTATGGCTGCCTGGACTGGATGGAACGGCGGCTCTGCAACAGAAAACACTTGCGGAAAACAACCGAATTCTGTGCGAATGCGTTCGGGCAGATGCGATCAATAAAATCAGCGTTCCACTAAGACGATCATATTCGTTTTCAAAAGTAGAATCGGTCTTTTTGGAGGCACAGTGCCATCGGTTGTAAAAACGTCATCCCTTCGCGGGTGGCGGGTGGGTGTGGGGGCTCCAGGTGGAGCAGGAGACGTCGACCCGTGGCTTCAAGGGGCAGGTAGTTAGTGGATGACACGCCGCCGACTTTCGGCGGCATTGCGCATGGGGTTTGTTATCATCCTCTGCGCAGCCGGCGGCGGATCTCAAACCCATTTAAAAAGTACGAACGGGGACATGACCCTCCGTGTCATGGTGCCAACGTTCCGGCGCACTCACGTCGATAGCTGCATAGCGGAGGCAGTGAGAAGACGAGTTGGGGTCCCGAGCCCCTGGACTTCGCAAGGGGCCCCAAATTGAGCTCTTGGCTTCGTCGTGGCAGAGTCTTGATACTCTGGGAATCGAGAAGAGACTTGCGCTGGGCAAGTCCGGTTCTGTCTTAGAAAGCAAGTATAGTAGCTCTGAGCTGGCAGGGCAGCCCGACCAAGGCATTGTATGGGGAGGTTTCAGAGACATAAGCGCTCTCCGGAGGGATCCGGAACGCAGTTATCCCTCCGCGAAGGCGTGCGTGTGTGTGTGTGTGTGTCCGCAGCGGGGTGTGAGAACAAAGGTAAAACGCCTAGCTGCACACACCAGGGATTTGTCTTGCTCATATTTCACTCAATATTATGCGAAACCTATTAAAATTTTCAAAAACGTGTTGATGAATCTGAAGCCCGATGGTATTTTTGATACTTTGATAGCTTTGCACTTCAGATTCACCTAATTTGAATGAATGGTTATGAACGGGAATTAAATGAATAATTACAATTAATGTATGAACAAGTGTTTTGAAAGGTTTGTGAACAAATTTTTATTACATAATCTAATAAAACTATTTTATACATAAATAACACAGTGCAAAAGCTAGCTTTGCTAAATTTGGTACCAATGGTTTAATGAGCGTTAATTTAGATACGGAACCGTTGTGCCGCCTTCCAGGTTGAATCTGCAGATAGTTCCTTTGGCGCCACAACCGTTGACTAGAATTACCGTTGGCTTGATTATGGTCGTCGCCTTCACCACAATTAACACTTGTAAAGGTGTGCAAGTTTGTTGAATTTGATTTGTTCGACAGTAACGCTGATTACGGCAACACGACCGATTACGAGGACTATTCTCTGAAGTTACGTTTGCAAAATGGCGAAATGGGCGTGCGGGCTCCGCTTCGTTCGACTTCCACCGGTAGGCTGACCTTTCCTTGCCTTCTGTCCGGGAGCGCGGGAACTTCGGCAACGTCGCTCGGCCTATGCGCATGAGCGTTAGACGCTCTGTAGTAAAATGAGCGTTTTTGTAACACGTGTATATGCCCACATTAAAAAATATAATTTTGAAGAACATTTTATTCAGAGGAGCAATCTCTACTTTCAATACTGAAGTTGTAGAAAAACATTTTGAACTATTGCAATTTTGGAAATTTTAAGTTATTTCAACATCTGATACCTGCGCCAGTTTTGTAAACTTCTTTATGCTATTCGAGGACAAGTTGAATAATAAATTTGGTATCTTTTTTGAAAACAAAATCCTTGATGCTGCATGTAAAGTTTCCCTAATGTAAAAACATTGGGTCGCGTTATACGCCAGATCAGTTGAGGAATATTACTTTTGGTGAATATCCTGCTTACGACTTAGACACTAGCATTGTTCAGAGGCAGAGTTGTTCAGAGCAGAGGCAGTATACAGTCAGGCAGAGTCACCCCACCAAAAGTGAATTCTGACTGCAGAACATGTAAGAGGAAATAATTTGATACATATAGGAACAGGAATTATTCACTTTTTCGGTATCAGGGACCTGTAATACGAACTTTTCTGCTAAAAAATAGCCATTTTTCGTCTTAGCATTACATAAATTTCTGTATTCCACATCTGCAGTATGCGAGAAAGTAAATGCACAATAAAAACAGAGATTGCTTTTCTTGACGATGCCATATTGTAACGAAAACATACCAGATGTACGAAGTCAATTTTTTCCAGCCAAATTAACTATTGAAAGAAACCCATGCGCTCTCTTGTGTCAAAAATGGACAGTGCTACGTTAGTGAACTATCAAAATTTGTGGCATGACCTTATGTTGTGAAATAGATGAAAAGTGCCTGGAAGTGAAAACAAAAATAATGTAGTTCTCAGTTTCTTGCGTGGGGATATCGTAGACATTAGTGATACAGATGATCTGATCGTGCAGTGATTCTGTATTGAAGTTGATAAAATATGTGAAATAGTGAAGATTCCCTGCTTCAATGATTGGGGCGTTGTGATAAAGTGTTTACCGAATTAGATCCTACATGTGGCGAACAGATGAGCGATGGCGACGGCACTCCTGCCCCAGAGTCGATTCCACTGAGAGAGTCTTCAGAGTGGAATTCAGAGGAGTTCAGAAAAATTATCTCGCGTAGAATTTTCACGGGAAGTGAAATTGGCAGATGGGTACGTGTATTTGACGGTCGTCTCTATGCATAAGTGGATGACTGGAAGGGACGCAAGCGACGCAAGTGTAAATGCAACCGAATGTAAATTTTCTGTTAAACCACTTTCATATGCCGCTAAAAATGACCACAATTTGTCTTAGTGGGATGTATGAGGGGGTTGGAGTGGGCAACACGTTTCGACGGGGTGCTGAGGGTGTTTGGAGTGGCGTAGCTGGCCGTCTGCAGCTGACAGGCGTGGCCTTGTACGCTCACAGTGAAAAGAGGCGCGTTTTACGGAACTCTAGGTTCTTCAGGGCAATCGCTATTTGAAAGAAACTCCAAAGAGCATTGATGACGTGAGTGTGGACGGGGTGAGCAAAACAACGCTGCGGAAACGGGCGTGGTGCGACTCAAAATGTCTTATCAAGTGGGCGCTCCGCTGTTCTCAAGCTGCAATTTTACCTAAGATGTGGTAGCGTGGCACTAGTGTTGGCACGTTAGAGGCATTCTCACCGCTTTGTCAATTGAATCGTATTTTTAAACCCCCTCTCCTCATTTGCGCTTTTTGTGGGAAAATAGCTGCTAGATAGATGCTTCGTTAGGGGGTAAATCACATAAATCAGAGGAATGTAAGGACACTGCAAAGTTTTGGGTTCGTTTTGAAAGTCTGTAAATCATTGACTAGAGTGGTATATATGACTGTATATGAAGATGTTTATACAGTGTGTATGACAGATATCACTGATATTGTTTGGAATTGATTAAAAGGGACATTAGATACAGAAATATTCCTATGTATTGTCGTAGAAACATATTTCAATCAACTATTTCTGTGACATGAATCATGTTTGATGTTGTACATTGCAATTGTACATAATACTAGCAAAATACAGGGAGTTGCTCGTTTTTTTTTCGTATTCAATCTCTGTGAAAAAGGAAGTCCCCGTGTCTCTGTATGATTCAGTGTCTCTCTGTGGGTTGTCCCTGTCTCTATCTCTGTGTCTTTCTATTTTTTCCTCTCTGTCTCTGTGTATCTGCCTGTCTTTCTCTCTGTGACTGTTTCTCTCTTTGCGTCTCTGCCTCTGTCTCAATTGTGTCTGTCTCTTCCTATCTCTCTGTATTGGTCTGCCTCTGCCTGTCTTTCTTTCTCTATCTGCCTCTTCTCTCTCTCTCGTGTTCTGTCTCTTGACTCTCTCTCTCTCTCTCTCGTGTTCTGTCTCTTGACTCTCTCTATTTTAATGCCCGTTTGTTTCTCTATGCGTCTCTGTCTATGTCTCTGCATCTGTCTACTAGCGTTACTAGCTACTACTACTGTCCTTCTACCCCTCCTACCATGGAGAGCTCGACCACCCACCATGAGGCGATTTCAGTTAACCGGTCCATGAATTGTACCTCTGGCTGTCAGATGATCAAATTTGAGATTGGGTCTACGAAGTTTTCTATGGCTCTTCGGTGTGAGGAGCCCAATCCACAACGTGCGTAGCAATGGCAAACTTTTTGTAAAATTATATTCAAAAGCAGATATCATAGTAATATAATAATTATATTTATTATATATATTTTCTTAAACCACAAGCAATAATCATTTCTCTTAACGTTCGGAGGCTGCCGTGCTCGTAGGCTTGCCTGTGACTTTTCCTTTGGACAGGCTTCCAAATACTTCGCTTGAGAAAAAGAGTTATGCTTGGTTCTGTACTTGTTTGTGTGTGCATCACTTACCTGTCATATTTTCCAATATCTCACAAGTATATCTTCGATAATTACCGTCGGACGTGTTTACCCAGATCTGTCAATGAAGAAAGGAATATTTATCTTTATTTTGAAGGATATTTGTTCAATGATGTGTATATTTACTAATATAAAAATTACAATAATATAATGGTGTTCAATTGATAATTAAATGTAAATATGCATACCATAAAACAAAATGCTGTGCTGTAGATTCCATCAATTAATATTGTACTGCCTATCTGAAAAATGCAATCACAAATGTGCAATTCAGTTACAATACGTGGTTGAAAGAGTGTTCAAACAAGCATGCAATGATCGCTGTTCAATGTTCAGTTTTTTCAAGAACATTATTTTACAAAAAGGTGTGAATAATATTTTTATTCCTATTCGCATTAATGTATAGACTAAATAAAAATAAACGTAATGTTTTAACACTTACCGATCCATTTTCCATTTTTATATCGTCAGTAGAGTGAGCATTGCAATCGCTAAAATTTGTTTTGTTGGTGGATAAAATTCGAACAGAAACAGAAGCATCAGCAAGGGAAGTCATGTGCTCGTCCAGTGGAGTTACAAATATCTCCATCCTGTGTCTAGAAAAAGGAAAGAATCGGGCATTAGGGCGAGTGTGTGTATGAGAGCGAGTGAGGGCGAGAGAGAGAGAGAGAGAGAGAAAGAAAGAAAGAAAGAGAGAATGAGAGAGAGAGAGAAAGAAAGAATGAGAGAGAGAATGAGAGCGAGAAAGAGAGAATGAGAGAGAGAGAATGAAAGAGAGAGAAAGATAGAATGAGAGAGAGAGAGAAAGAGAGAATGAGAAAGAGATAATGAGAAAGAGAGAATGAGAGAGAAAGAGAGAATGAGAGAGAGAATGAGAGAGAGAGAAAAAGTGAGAATGAGAGAGAGAGAAAGTGAGAATGAGAGAGAGAGAAAGTGAGAATTAGAGAGAGAGAACGTGAGAATGAGAGAGAGAGAGAAAGAGAATGAGAGAGAGAGAAAGAGAATGAGAGAGAGAAAGAGAATGAGAGAGGGAAAGAGAATGAGAGAGAAAGAGAATGCGAGAGAGAGAAAGAGAATGAGAGAGAGAAAGAGAATGAGAGAGATAATGAGAGAGAGAAAGAGAATGGAAGAGAGAGAAAGAGAATGAGAGAGATAAAGAGAATGAGAGAGAGTGAAAGAGAATGAGAGAGAGAAAGAAAGATAGAGAGAAAGAGAAACAGAGAGAGAAAGAGAGAGAGAATGGGAGAGAGAAAGAGAAAGAGAAAGAGAGAGCGCAGGCGGGAGTGGGGTAGTTTTGGGGCGGGCGTCACAACAGCGCTCGCACTAAAGCGTTCATAAATTTAAATTACCGATTTTCCTTAATTAAAAAGTATTTGCCCTACATCTGACTACTTTCGCACATTTTTTAATAGGAACACTTTTTAGATCAGGATTTTGTTATGGCATAAAATTAGCTCCATCCAAGCTGAACACCGTTTCAAAAATTACTTTAAAACTATAAGTACTCTGGCCCAAAGAAAAAAATCGTTTGAAATTCAATCTTCACAACCGTGCAGACACTTTTGGACACCCTTGGATCCGGGGGAGGAGCGAGTTGACCAATCGCTGGCAGTTAGAACCTTAGAGCGTCTCTGTTTGACCACAATATCATGGCGCGTGGGCGGAGTCACGTTTGTTTACGTTGCGCTTCCCGCTTCTCGTATTTCGCTTGTGCGTTCGCCGCGAGGGAAAATAATTCGCAGCGGATGTTTCTGGTCGAGTGTTGGTGTCAATAGACCAGTGCATATTTAGCTCTTAAGCAGCAAATTAACTTTTAGCTTTTAATTGGCAGCTCCTGTTGAAGTTTGAAATGTTCAACTCAGAAACGATTTTGTAGTCCTTCGCCGGCCGTTCTAGAGCATATTTCGTATTTTTTATAAAATTGTTAATTGTTGAAAAATTGTTAATTCGTGTTTTTCTGGTTTGGTACATTGAGGGATGCTACCCCCTTTAGAATGGAAAAGTTTGGAAATGTTTATAAATTGGAAAACCTTGTAGCATGTTTTCATTGTCTCTTCTAAATTCCAGTACTCGCCTGACCGCTGTGGTGTGCGGATCGTGCCCGCAGCTCCGTAGTGTCTTACCTTGGCTCGCCCCGCGAGGGCGCCAAGATAATGGAAAAGTCTAGCGATAATAACCAGTGCGCACTAGCTCTAAGTGAACAGTTATATTTGTAAAGTATAACAGTGTTTTCATTCTCTTCATATTCAAATCAACCTAACAAAAGACAACCTATACTAAAACTCGTCGATTACCAATAACTTTCGGGTAGGACAGTAGCATGTTAGTGGCGATTGCATGCTACTGACACCCGGGAAGCAGTTTACTTCAAGTAATGTCATCCGAAGAATCAACAGCAGCGACAGCAACGGCATGGATCATGATCATCTGCTCCCGTCAACCTGACGCAGAATGTATGGCAAAATATACACACCAGCTCGGTCAAAAAGGCCGAACCCTGACGTCCTCGACCCTGATGCTAATAGAAGGGTAAGGCAAAAGACAGCGTCTTGCGATAGTAATACTAGTGTATATTACAGTTCCACCCAAGAATCAATTCAGTGCTCTTGATATAGAAGGCACAACAGAAAACAATGAGGAACCTTTCCAAAAACCACTGTACCCTCCAATTTTCGTGCCAAATGTGAATAAGTTTCATTATGATCAAATTTTTCAAGGAAGCCTTAAAAACAGAAGATTTCGAAATAAAAATCTCTAGCAAACGCAAAATTAAAATAACGCCGAAAACTCCAAATACCTACAGGAAATAATAAAACATTTATCAGCCAACAGTCACGCTATTACTATACATACCAGTTGAAACAAGAACGTGCGTATAGAGTTGTCTTGCGACACATACATCATACGGTAGACGTAAAAGATATCAAGGCTGCGCTTCTGGAAAAGGATCACAAAGTTAGAAACATTATAAATGTCCGCCACAGGCTAACTAAATCACCTCTGCCTCTATTTTTTGTAGACCTTGAGCCCAAACCTAACAACAAAGAAGTGTTCAAAATTAACCGACTTTTAAATTGTGTTGTTGCTTTCGAACCACACGCCTGAAACGCGAGATAGTAAATGCAAAACTGTCAGAGATATGAACATACCAGGTCGTACTGTGCCTACCCGTACAGGTGTGATAAATGTGGAAAAGAACACGACCCAGATAAGTGTTTAAAGAAAAGCAAAGTCAACCAACTTGTGCTCTGTGTGAAGGCAACCATCCCGCCAACTACTAAAGGCTGCAAAGTATACCAAGAAATATTAAAAAGGAAAGGTACAACAACTCAAGTAAACACAGAATGTTTCAAACAGAGATGCATGTGCAAACACAAAACAGGAAACATTGAAACTACTTATTCTCACGAAAACTCAAGAGTGGACATGTAAATGCAGGAACTGGGCCGATGTTGCGCGATCAAAGCCTGCTAGAAAGACATCAACACAACGACGATAGCAATCCATTATGAAAATAAATACAGCCACTCCTTTGAGAGGTTTTGAAAACATACTAATGCCAGCACAAGTCAACAAATAAACTCTCTCATTAACCTCATAACGTCGCGTGTCTCCAAACTATCTAATGCTAAATTCCTTCGCATGGCAGCTTGAAACGCCAACGGCTTGGCAAATCATCGCCAAGAAAATCGAAATATTTCTCAACGAAAACAAAATAGACATGCTACTCATCTCTGAATCTCACTCACAGAAAGATAGCTACTTTAAACTGAAGAACTACACTTTAACGATACTAAACACCTAGTGGGCAATGCCCATGGTGGCACAGCAATATTAATAAAAAGCACTATAAAACATCAAGAACAGGAAGCTGTACAGGAACAGGATATTCAAGCAACGACTGTACAAATTATGGACTGAGTGACCAATTACCATCAAGTGCCATTTACTGCCCTCCAAGCATTCAAAATAGACAAACAACGATTTGAAACTATTTTAAGTCTCTAGGAAATAGGTACATGGTGGGAGGAGACTACAATGCCAAACACAACGCAATGGGGATCCAGGCTCATCACTCCAGAGGGAGAGAACTGCTGAAAGCAGTTACCTCACTTCAGCTAGAAACCATTTCTACAGGAGAACCTACCTATGGCCTACCGATTCTAACCAAAACTCCAGATGTAATTGACATATTCATAACAAAAGGAATCCCATCCACTAACTGTATCATAGAATCTTCCACGAACTGTCCTCGAGCCACACTCCAATAATTATCACAGTCAGCAACAAAATTATTCTACAATCCTCTCCCCGCGTCACTAACGACAGAAAGACAAACTGGAAACTTGTATAGAAAACAGATATCTATGAAACAAAATCCGATTACACTAAAATCAGCTGACCACATAGCACGAAGCGACTGAGTATATAATACAAAATATTCAAGAAGCAGCTGGACCGCTACACCGCCAACTTCGCCTACACCCAAGCTGCGTGAAATATGCCAAAAGTTCTTTTGAACAAAATAGCGAGAAAAGAAGACTAAGAAGAATCTGGCATACTTCAAAATATCCTGAAGACCGTACCAACTACAACAGAGCAACTAGGCACTAAAAACGCCTCCTAAACGAATTCAACAACAACAGGTTTCAAGATTTCATAACCAACCTTACCCCAACAGAAGATACCAATTACTCCTTATTTAAAGCCACAGGGAAGCTAAAAAACCGACGAAATCAAATCCCAAATCAGAGGGCGAAAACAAGAGTTGGGCAAGAAACCCCACAGAAAAACCGTCTACCTTTGCCAAATTCTTTGCTAATGTATTCCAGACTCATCCCATTATAAATACTAACCAAGAAGCAACAAATCAGAGATTATCTTAACTCCCCAAACCAAATAACTCTTCCAACCCGCACTTCACTCCCAGAGTAATTACCAAAACCATAAACTCCTTATCAAAACAAAAAAGCTCCTGGCTATGACTTAATCACAACACCTCTTCTCAAAAACTACACGAAAAGGCAAGACTATAATTACTGCATTGTTCAACAGTATTATAGAAACAGGGCACTACCGGAGCAAGGAAAGTAGCCCAAATTCAAGTTTTTCTCAGGCTGGAACCTCCACATGAACCTGCCTCCTACCGTCCCATCAGTATACCTCTATTCTACCAAAGTATTTGAGAAACTTCTTCTATCAAGACTACGTCCTCACATGGCAACCAATAACCTAGTCCCTGATCTCATTTGGTTTTAGACAAACAGCATTCTACGTCGAACAAGTTAATAGAATCACCAACTACATTGAGAATTGCTTCAAGAAAAGAAATACTGTTCAGGCCGCATTTCTAGACATTGCCAAGCCTTTGACAAAAGTCTGGCACGATGGACTCTTATTTAAAGTCAAGAATTTTCTACCGTATCCCTTCTTCAACATTATCAGATCTTTTCTTCCCACCGCACCTTCCAAATCAAATATCAAATAATTATCTGAATTCCATCCAATCAAGGCCGGATTACCACAAGGTAGTGTACTCGGCCCTATCCTATACCAGCTCTATACTACTGATATACCAAAATCAGATAAAACACCATAGCCACTTTTGCAGATGATACGCCATACTAGCTTCGGATACGACCTAATGTCGCATCAAGACATTTACAAGAACATCTCATAATGATTGAAGATTGGCGCCAAAAAGTGGAAAATAAAAATCAACGAAAATAAATCAGTCCATATAACCTTTACCCTGAGAAAAAACAAATGCCCTACTGTCCACATCAACAACAATCCAAAGTACAGGTGGAAAGTGTAAAATACTGGGGAATACATCTAGACAAACGGCTAACATGGAAGCATCCACATCTTAGCCAAAAAAAGCACCTTCAACTTCAAATAAGAAACTATACTTGGATACTAGGATACCACTCAAAACTATCACTGAAAAATAAACTGTTGATATATAAAGCTATCGTAATCCCAATATGGACCTACGGCATCCAAATCTGGGCACAGCAAGCAAGAGTAACCTCGATTCATCCAGAGATTTCAATCCAAGACCCAAGAATGATTGGCAGGCCTCATCACAAATGCAGGCACTGCACAAGGACTTAAAAATGCCCACTGTCTTGGAAAGAATAGAATTTATCAGCTCAAACTATCTCAGCGCCTTGAAAACCATCCAAACCACTTAGCCCTCAACATCCTAGACAATAGTGCAGACATCCATCGACTAACCAGAACCTCACCCCTACAACTCCCATATAGATTCTCAACAAATAACTGAAACATTACCCTCAGCTACTAAACTATCCCACTTGCAGAACCCAAAATAATAACTTGCTTTTTGTTATAGTATGAAGAGAGATGAAGAGTACCGATGGGAAACCTTCACTGGAAATCAAATCAATGTCAGAATAATTCTACAATATCATATTTACTTATTATTTTGTAAAAAATAGATTGTAAATTTTTTTGTTATAAATATAAAAAACTTCTAAATTCCCTTTAAACACATAACAAAATTCCGCAATCCGATAGGTGCTGTTAATTTCCGTTCTCAAGATATTTAGTTCTTTATAAGAATTCAGCTTTTCGTAATCAGCCTCACTAGTTTGCAGTCGTTCTATTCGCTCTCCGCACACAAGTATACTGAAATGGCCGTTTTGCAGTGTCTCGCTTCGATTGTTCGCTACATACGCTAAAATGATTGTAATTACTATTACTTCGATAAAACAAGATGTTGCAATTATTTTTCTATTTCTCTATAATGTTTTTCAAATACTGTAACAGTAAATTTGTTCATATTTGTTTCATTTGTAAAAGTCAGAAATGACTACTGTTCCCGGCTAAAGAAATAATCGCTGTTATGCACTTCAGGCGCTTCGTTTGAATTGGTTGAAACAGACTTTCAATTTATAAATGAGTTTTTAACAATTATATATTTCAATATTACTTAACTATTTTTAATAATGCAAGAAAGTATGTGCTGTTAAAATACTTCTAATCCTACAAATATGACTCATTTGTCTAAATTTTTTACTAAAAGCTACACGTTGTGTCACATATTATCTGCCAAAAACTTACGTTGTCGGCAACAAGGAACCATAATTCCAGTAATAGCAAACGAAAGAAGCCGAGAATAGAATGACTCCAAGAGAGATGATATTTTTGCGAAAGTATGTGCAAAAGAAAAAATTGCTATGTTATACATCGTCACGATCACTGGAAGGTTAAAATCGGAAAGAATATATAATGTTATTCTAAATTAGTTTCCTAACCATCTCCACTTCTCTTATTGGACAAATCAATGGCTGTCTTTCGGTGCTTATGGCTCTTATAGAAGTGCCAGTTCTCTGTAACTCAGGTGGCTGAAGAGGTTAAATGTCAGGTTCGGACTCAGCGTATCGGAGGGAAATGCCGCAAGTCCACGTTTTTATCGGGGATACTTATTTGTCACAAAAATTCTGCTGCTGCAGAAAACTATTGACAATTTCAGAATTTTTATTACAAATCATTTGAAGCAATTCTACTCACATATACAATCTGTTAAAATTCTAAATAAACTGAAAGTTTTAACAAGTGTACAACAATCTTATTCTATTTTTATAACGTGTGTCACATCAAATCAATTGTTCAATACAATATCCAAATCAATATAATATTGCGGACTGTTTAGATATATTGCGAGAAAGTATGTTTTTTGGCAGCACCACTAGTCTTGATTAAACTTCGTTGCGTAAAAGACGCCTAAGATAATGATACAGATCTCATTTGCGTTGAAATCTCTGAATTTGTGAAAAATGTAGTTCAATTTTTTCGTTGTTTATCTGCAACAAAATTAAAGATGGATTTTTCTTAATGATTTTTTTCAAATCTTGAAATATTGTTTTGTACAAATTTTTGAAAATATTAGTAGAATGTTGCGTTAACTATAGCCAATTTCTTATTTTTAAATATTTTTTCTAAAAAATGGCTCCCAAATTTCCTTTGAATTTTCTTGTAACTATCAAAAGACAGTAAAAGGTAGTGGTAGTCTCCTTTTTATTTATTGTTCTGGATCTTAGAAAATTGCTAATTTGCAAATAATATGGAAAAGTATGTGCTATTTCAGCACCACTTGTTTATACATGTTGGAAAGGATATTTCAAAAAAAATCTCCTCAATTTTTCGTTCTTGAGAAATGCATGATAAGAGACAATTAACAACAAAAACAAACGATAACAAGATACTTACAATTTCCTAAAAGCTTTGTAATTGATACGAGGAGGTGGGCAACCTGAAATAAATTCATTCAATAAAAGAAAATTTAGCAATAGGAAAAGGTTTAATGAAATAATTTCAAATATCACTATTTTAATAAAGATTCTATCATCATCAACACCTTCATAAACAACAGGATTGATGAGGGGGTTTGTTTCATTGAGGGAGCCTGTCAATCCAGTGATGGTGATGTTGTGTTCTCCTTCGGGCACATCCACCTGCCACCACGTCTCTTCTGGTTGCGTTATTATCAAAAACCGCCTCCCTGAAACCACACACCACATGAATGTAATTTAAACTAGTGGCACTACAGTGGAAAGTGCATATTTCTTCCTAACAACATGTAACTCGCTCTTACTATTACTCTCGCTCCAATTTTTAAATATAATTGGCGATCAAAACTTTTTAAAGTAAAAGAAGTATATTTGTTAATACTGTAAGTTAAATATATTACCTTCATTAAATACATTTCCTTCATAAGAATATTATGTTCATCATACGATCATGATCGCCAACGATCATAAAAATTCGAATAATATCAAAGAGCGGTGTTGCCATTTTACACATTAACGCGTCAATTGAAGCGTGGGAAATTTTGAACTTTCAATTTCTAAATTTTTCAAGGTTTTCGAAAATAGAGTTCGCCGAAAATGTTTCGAGCACATCATCATTGATCGTTCTCTGCCACATACGAGGGAAAAAATATAGAATAATAATTGGGGTCGCTTTGCGAAGGTAATTATTTAAAACATGAAAATTTCCTATGATTCAGGAACAATTACGAAAAAGCTAATGACATTAAAAAATATTGAACCTGATCTTCTTTGAAGAACTGTTTTTGATGTAGTGATTACATTAAGAAAAATTTTACCTTCATAATGTACTTATAGGAAGACGCAAAAACATCTCGGACTATTTGCAATTTTTTAAAATTCAGGAAGGGTAACTAAAATGCGATTTACGTAATTTTTTATGCAGCTTTAGCTCTAACAGTAATGAAAAATGTCCTGTTTTCCCCATCATTGCAATACTTTCTCTACACTGCGTAAGCAGTTGAGAGAAAGTAAAATTGGAGCCTTTTTTGAAAAAAATGTTTCAAATGTTGATTCCAGATGAGGACCCCACCAAATAACAAACTAATTTGAAAGTTGATACGCAGAGTTGGTATATTTCTATGTTCTAGAGAAAATCAGTATTCACCAGCGTTTCGTTGTTGACAGCCTCCGCGCACATGGCGAAGTTGCCTCTTTAATCCACGAATTCTCTACAGACGTTCCAGTTCAGAACGAGCTCCAAACAGTGTGTGTGTGTGTCAGGTGCACCTCCCTTCCTTCACGCTCACTGTGTGTAACATCTACATCCTTACAGGGCAGAGTGTATCCGCCGATGAACGTTTGGGCTTGATACAACAAATACCCTCTCCGTTCTTTATAGAGGGAGATGAAAATGCCCACAGTTCTCTTTGGGGTCCATCCCACACTTATTCGAGAGGCAGCATATCGGAATCAGTGATAGACACCTTCAACTTGATAATTCTGGGCTCGGGCGAGAATACTCATTCCGCCGTCGCCACGAACGCAAGCGCGTGAATCGATCTGGCTCTCTGCAGCCCATCACTGGCAACCGTCCTGCAACGGTCTGTTCCAGGTGACCAGCGCGAAAGCGACCATTGCCCCACTATCATGAACATTGATGGGCTTGTACATGGGTTGACTCCATCTCCTCAATGGTGTGTACAACGTGCTGACTGGTTGAAGTTTCAACAAAATGCCAAAGTGCCAGGGGGCGTCTTGAACGGTCTGGACCAAATGGCAGCACATTTTAATAGTGCTCAACTACAAGCCGTGGATATCGCCCCCCCATGTCTCGTGGTGGAACCTGGACTGCTCAAGGGAGGTCAGTGCCCCAAAAAGGCATTGGCGCGCCTGAAGCACTATCCAGCCGTCGATAATCTAATTGATTACAAGAGGTGCAGAGCGAAGGCGAGGAAAACCATTCTAGAAAGCACAAATTCATTCTGAAGAGCATACGTCTTCTCCCTCAATTACCATGCGCCACTGCGTCTGGAATGGAGGGAGGTGCGTCAAATTTTTGGATATTCCTCCCCAAATTCTGTGCCAGGTCTTCTGAGGAATGGTGTGATGATCACATCCCCAAACGCAATTGTCGGCGATGTTGCCGCCCATTATGAACACATATCGAGTTCGGAGAAGTATGCTCCAGACTTTCTTTTACTCAAAGAGTGGAAAATAGCGTTTTAGATTTTTCGATCAGAGGATTACAATACCCCATTCTCCATGTCTAAAATGCGCTCTGATTTGGTGCTTGCAAAAACAACTGCCCCTGGTCCAGATGAAATCTGGGAGAGAGGGTGAGACACAGAGAGAGAAGCAAACAGAGAGAGACAGAAGGACAGAGAAAGAGAAACAATCAGAGAAATACAGAGAGAGAGACAGGGTCTGAGAAACAGGGACAGAGAGTGACGGAGAGAGAGACGTGGTGAGAGTGAAAGGGAGAGAGAAGGGGAAAAGGGGAGTTGGAGGGGGGCAGAACGTCTGGCGGGTTCCGCTAGTTTACTATATATAATTTATTTTAATAGCGTATACTTACCTTTATAATTGAAGAGTTTTAAAATTATAGTATTTCTCTCTCCGCCTGCAGTGACTTCTTGGGTAAAATTTATGCCCTCGCTGAAAGACGTACTGGTGCGAACTTTCCATATGTCAAAACAATTATCTGAAAACGCAATGGAAGCTAATTAGCTTACATGACACGTGAAGGACAATGAACACGGAATAGACAATGATGACTTCACACGTTTTTAGAACAGAAATATGTGACAAAAAACTATATTCTACTTAAAACTTATAAGTAACACATATGATAATTTAGAAAGTAACGTTATGAATTTTAAATTTCAGAAACGACACAAGTCCGAAAGCTGATTTTCAGCAAATGAATGAAACTGCTTTTAAAGAGAAATTGAAGGAATAAATAATGGGAAAGAATAAGTCGAATAAAAATTATATTCACTGATGGAAAATATTGCAATAAGAGGATATGTACTTTCGATAATGAAGTATACCAAATAATGTATTTAACGTCCTTTGATAGTGGTGACAAATAGTATTTTTTTACGATATACAGAGTGTATTTAGCTCTCTTTAAAACTGTTGTCATTCAATAATCAATTCCCAACACTGTTTTCAGTTCTCATTACCGCCATCAGTCCGAAGCTATACAATTTCCTCATAAAACTTACTGATCTGAAGGAATGTAACACGTCAAACAATGAAAGTCCAACATTTTCTTTAACTTAATTGAAACTCGGCCTACAAACGTATTTTGCAAAGAAAAAATAATACGTTCTCCCGGAACTCGATGTTCAAATGTGTGTTCATGTAAATCTCCAATATTGTCACAAGCACATGAATAATGTCTATTGTTACGACATTTGAAGTCCATAAAGTATGTGGGTTGTAACGATACTTTTAAAAGTCTGGTATATCCTTCCTTTTCTAGAGATTTAAGATTTATAGTTTCTAAAGAGTATCCACCTCTTCGATAAGACTTCACCTACCATCCAAAAAACTTAATATTATCTTCTGTTGATAGAAATAATTAGTTTAAATATATTGTCCTTAGCTGAATGACAGAGAAGTGGCTATAGGTCCTTCCGCAAGGGCCCCGCTGCTGTTCATCATGGAGCAGAACTCGTGTCCAGGTCACGTGACCCTTCCAAAATGAACTCTACAGAAACAAATTTCTCTCACGTGCGGAATGCATAAGACAATTCAGATGTATGGTGACAAGATGCATGTTCCTTATATTGGTGTCATCCAGTTTGTAACTTTTTTTTTCAAAAATTGACAGCTGATCTTTTTAAAATGGCCTATTTATTTACTACAGCCTTCTTTCTAGTCAGTGAAAAGTAGAAAAAAATGTCAACAGTTTTCACTGACGACGAGAAGAAGAGTGTGTGCTCGATTGAAGATGAGCAATAGTTAGCAAAGATACAAAGATACACGTCATTGAGGACCTCTCAGTCACGAGGAGACAGTTGAAAGGCGGGAGTCGAGATCCGCGCAGGAGAACGGCTTGGCAGTGATGAAGAGTTCGGACGGAGAGCCGGCAGCGCAGCTCACGGGCGGGATAATTCGTGGTTGAGGTGGTTTTGACAGACGTCCTGAAACTTCGTTGGCCTTCCACTGGCGGGTATCCATCTTCTTGATCGGTTTTTCTCGTCGCTGGTGTATCGTCAGGAGGTCCGTCGCATGCCAGAATCGTAGCCTTCTTGGGAATTGCCTTTGCTAAAACATTAACCATGCCTATCAATCTCTTAAGACCCTTCTTGTTGTTAGGTGTGTCGATGACTTATTAGTTCGATCGCTTTCACAGTATCTGGATGGATAAGAGTTCTGCTTCGTCAACAATATATCCTAGGAAATCAATAGAGGGGTCGCTGATGGCCAACTTCTCGTTCAGTGTAATCCTGGCTTCTTTCAGTCTGGGGCGTACTTTTTCCAGTTGCCAATTGTGCTCTTCTCTGCTAGACCCGTATACGAGATTGTCATCCATCAAACACACGACACCATCGCAGTCTTTCAACATTTCCTGCATTTTATTTTGAAAAAGTTCTGCAGCACTTATTCCCAAAGTTAGACAGTTGAAATCTCCCAAAAGGTGTTATAAACGTGGCGAGTAGCCGAGATTCTTCTTCTAAAACCATCTGATAAAAACCTGAAGCTGCATCCAATTTCGAAAAGTAATTAGCGTCCTTGATTCGATTCAGAGTGCAGTGGACATCTTAGATAGGATGATACTCTGTTTGTATGGCTTTGTTCAGCTCCCTAAGGTCAACGCAAATTTTCGGACTCCTGTCCTTCTTGAATGTGACGACCATTGGAGACGAAGCACAGCTCTGTCGCGAATAAACTCATCCTTCAAATGCCATAGTTGCAATTTCTGGCGAGGTTATGTAACGCCGTAATGAAATCGCTCACCGCTTCCCCGGGATTTTGGACAAGAGTATGAAAGCGGGCACTTTCATAAATTACGTTAGTCTGTGGTGCGAAGTGATCGTCAAATTTCTGAATCATAGTTTTGTACTGCTTTTCTTCATCATTCGTCAGACCGAATGTTAACATAACTTTAGCTAAGTATGTATAATTGATTTAACATGGAAATCTATGGCCAAGACCAAGTGGGGCAGTACACGCAAATGCTTATGGGGGCTCAGGAAATCCGCAGGTTGCACGTTGTGTAGCTGACCAAGGGCGATTCTCTGTTAATATGTCGGTTGGCATTGTGGATGAATTTATCCTCGGTACTCACTGCTCACGAGAGCGTTTAAGAGGCGTTCAGTACAAGAATTTTATAGCTCGCGTACTCCCAACTCTTTTGGAGCAGGCGGTTAATGAAAAAACGCGTCTCTTCTACTGAAGTCGAGGATCGTGATGACTAGAGGCCGGATTTTTAGGGGCAAACATTTTCTAAATTAGTGGCTAAAATACGTTCAAAAAACGAAAATAGGGCCAAAATATTAAAAATAGGTGTATGTTTAGGGACAACAAAATAAAAATTAGTGCAAATATAAATACATGATTTTATATTATAACATGACGAATGCACATGATATATTGAGGAAAATTAGGTAAGTTACATACAAACTATATTTTTAAAACAGGTTTACTTCAATGATATCACTGTTCTCTGTGGCATAAAAAAATATGTTGAATTACATCCCAATGTTAAGGAAATCGAAATTTAAATGCTTGTCTTTTAGAAAGTGTGAATAGGCAAAAAAAATATTTCTACGTTCTCTGACACCAGTGGGAACAATCCTAACACCTTTGAGGCAATCCTATCTTCTCATGGCAAATCATTAGCGCTTGTAACCATTAAAATATCTGAAATTTTGGCCAAACATTGTTCTAATTTCTCAAGAACAAATCATTCTATACTCTTTTTTGCTTTTGCAAAAATTCGTCACAGTTCAACGGCAAGCAGTTGCTCCTCTGTAGTTAGTTGATAGATGCAGAAAGGAATTTGAAGGAAAGAACAAATAAGAATTATCTTTCCAAAACGGTATTGTTGAAAAATGTTTTCAGTTTTTCTTATGCAACACATCGATCTTCGTCAATGTTAATAACAAAATGCATTATTATTTTTTGCAGTTTTCTGCATAAAACACACAATGGTTTATCCCCATTCCCCAGCGAGTCACGATGGGATGAGGTAGTAAACGAGATCGATCATGCTTTCTTTATTTACGAGAACATTTGAAGGACATTTATTTAGCACCTTCTTCGTTATTAATTCATTTGCCACGTTTGATTATTACGTACTACTTGTGATACTCTATACAATCCAATTCACCAACTCTATGCAGAACAATGGGCTATTGAATTACTTTGACAAATGTTCCCGAATTAAGGGGTTACATGCTATAAATCTCTTGGTTTATGCATTGGATGTGAAAACACAATTGCCATAAGCGCGCAATGTCAGAATTAAAAGAGCAATATACTAAATATCCATTACAACTTAATTGTGTTAGTCTTGAAGCACCTTTGGCAACGGCAAGATTTCCGGTAAAAGAACAGCTCTGTCACGATAACTGATAATGAACGAGTTCTGATAAACTAAAATACCCGAAATTTTAAAGACACATGTTTCTATTTAAAAGAAAACTCTAAAACATAGTCAACATTTTGAACGCTTGCAGAGTCCCTGTTACACGAGGTAAAAATGCGAAATTGTGGCTGCACACGCAATGATGATAAAGTATCCTAAATAATACTTCAATAATAGCTTTTTTCCACTCTCTTTTCGTATTCATTATATAAGTAGGCAATAATAACAACAAGAAACAATATTTAATCTAATATTGAGGCTACCTTTTATGCAAAAAAATACTAATGACATTTTTTTAAATTTTAAATTGTGCTTACACTATATCCTTTTGCCGTCATGAATAACAGTACTCTATCACTGGTTCATATATATATATATATATATATATATATATATATAGAATATGACACCAGTGAATAGAGTACTGTTATTATATGTTATATATTATATATATATATAATATATATAATAAATTTAGAGAGAGAGAGAGAGAGAGAGAGAGGGCGCCACCTTGCGAGCGCGACAGGAACTACTGCGACGGCCGGACTGCAGGCCGCTCGACAGACAGACGCTGGTCGCCGGACACGCGGTGGCGAACGTGCTAAGCTCGTCTCTTACACAAGCTGTGCATTCCAAAGTTAACTAAGGAACGCCATTCCAATTGAGCATCGTTTGTCGTTATTCATACAACATGGTGGCAGAGTTCTCTACGCTACCTGAGGACACAGGTTAATAAAAGAAAATGGAGCCATTTTTGAGAACATTTTGACAATGTTGAGACTTCATAGAGATGTTCCGTAATCATAAAATCCGCTTGAAACTCGCGTGGTCTCAAGTTCATTTAAAGCGATGAAAGAAAATCAATTTGGAGAAAATCTAAATATTTTATGCGCCACGGGCGGGTGGAAGGTCAGGCAAACGGACGGACAGATGGACGGATAGACAGACGTTTTACCATCAATAGATTTGTCGTTATCAAGGACTCACAAAATGTACATCTGGACTTCTCGTATTAGAGGGAGTAATACTTCATGGAAAATATCAATAATAATTAGAGTAGCACTTAAAAGGACACCCTCAAAACAAAATCCAAAATAAAAATTTTGGATTTTGTTGAATTTTCAAATGCAATTGTCGTTGCAGTACCAGGAATACTGTCGGAGGACCTAATAAAATTTTGAAATTTGTACACGTAAAATATTTCTATGATATCACACTGCAAAATAAATTTTTACTTCGAGATTCAACTCAATGTGGGATTTAAAAACAATTGAAAATTTCTGCGAAAAATGCTTCATTTCTACATTGGGGAGAAGTAGTGAGTATTCATAATATGTTACTGCCATTTTGAGCTCAAATCTTACTTTACAATCATTAGTAACATGTTTTTACAAAAAAACATAAAAGCTTAGTAATATATAATTTTGAATATTTAAGTTCCAATGCGATATTTTACGAACGAGTTTTTGCTTCCCAAATTATTTAAGAATAAATATGCATTTAGGAATGAAATATGCACGGTAATCTTACTACGGCAAACACTGTTGCGCAACGAAAACCAAAGTGTCATACGTAATTATAATTATAAATCACATTGAATTTTAATCTTTTTGATAAACAAACGGACAAGGATAAGCGCACTTCAAATTTTGGTATTTATAAAATTTTAGGCCAAATCTTGTAATTTCGTAAAAGCGTGAATTTGGCCCGAAAATGTTTTGCTCTATTACGTGAACGGGGCTGGTAAACATTCTTCTAAACGATGAGCAAACGTATTCCAAAGATAGACAAACGCAGAGAGTAGTAAAATATCGAAATTTCCGTGTATTTATTGGTATTTTTTCGAATTGAAAAATGGCGGGAATAGCGTGTTTTTCTTTTAACGTTTGAATTCGACCTGGAACAATTTATAAAGGGTGTGCATTGTGACCAAACGATTGTGGTCAAACAATGGGCAAACGAATCCAGAAAAAAAATTGCATTTTCTTATTTTTTCAGGCCAGGTACACACTTTCTTGAAAAATTATTTTGGTTGTTTTGTTCGTGACCTTATCTGAAGGTGTATAAGAGGTAATTGGGAGGTAAAGTAACGAATGCAAATTAAGTTTAGAAATTTTTATCTGTGTGTTCCTAATTTGGCGATTTTGAGAAATGGCAGGCAAACCTTTTTTTGCCAATAATTTTTTAATCGTAGCTGGTAAAAAGTTCCTAAAGGGTGGGAAAAAGTGGGCAAACTATGAGCAAACGAATTCACCAAAAAAGTGCATTTTTAAATTTTTTGGGAAGCCAGGTTCACGAGTTTTGTGTGCTGTAGAGTACATTTTTCGCCAATATCTGCTAAAGGAAAAGTGGTGAAATAATCCACTTGGAGATTACAGGTGTTCAAACGATGAACAAACTAAAGTACATGTCAGTTTTGGTATTTTCAATTTTTTGGGCAAAATATGATAATTTCGTAAAAGCGTGAATTTGGCCCCATACAATTTTTTGCTCTAATTTGAAACGAGGACGGTAAAAATTTTCTAAAGTTCGGGCAAACGTCTTCAAGCTATGAACAAACGAATGCAAATGATAATTTTCTTAATTTCAATGTTTTTTTGGTATTTTGGCAAATTTACAAAAAATGGCGGGAAATGGATTTCTTCCGTAATTCTTGAACTAAAATTAGTGCATGTTTTGTAAGTGATGTACAATAGTTTTCCAAAAATGAGCAAACGCAGAAAATTTTCGTGTATTTCTTCGTATTTTTTCGAATGAAAAAATTGCGCGATAACGTTATTTGCTAATAACTTTTGAACCTGACCTGGTAAAAATTTTCAAAACGTAGTCAAATGATAGGCAAATGAATGTACAAGAAAATTCAAAATTTTGAAGTTGACGGGGGTTACAACTGTCGGCATTATAACGTGACTGTCAATTATCAACTTGCATACTATTTCTTGCAGTTTCAATTTAAATATTCTCTTACATTTCAAACGAAAATAGACTAAAATTAACAGAATGTATTTGTGTATAACAATAATCAATTTTCCCAGTCGATCAACCAAAGGGGTTCGTAGATAGAGATGAGCCCCACCAAAAGTGTAATTTAGCTGAAGCCATCAGAGTCGTCTCAGAGAAAAACTAGAATCCATTTTTGAGTATTCGGAATCATGGCGTTTTTGTCATGATGTAACTTCATAATTTTTAATTAAAATACTTACTTTCTGGTAACATATGTATTGTACAGGATCCTATTGCAGTGGCCTGTAATAGGGAAGAAAAAACGTATTACAAAATTAATTTCAAAATTTAAAATATTTACAACTGAAAATCACTCGTATAATTATATAAATGTTTACATTCAGCCTGTCCTTAACCTCTGAGCCGTGCGAACTGCTGCTTCGAACAAGAATGGCGATTTGACCTTGCTAATGGACACTCAATCCAAGAGCTGAAGGGAGCACTACGTCCAAATAACACCGCACGCAGTTCTCTGGAAGAAAACATTCACAACGTCTTACAGCCGTTTATCAAGAACATCAAGGACCATATTGGAAAGATTCTGAAACACTATTATCAAACCCATTTTCACTCCCATCACTCAGCTCCGCAATCTCTTTAGGTCGGTTAAAGACGGCAGGGACACACTAATGACAGCAGGTATCTGCAGGATACACTGTTCCTGAGGCTCTGAGTACATAGGCACAACACAGCGTTCAGTCAACACTCGCCTCACTAAATACAAAGGAAATTTCCACTTGGGAGACAGATAAATCAGCGGTGGCTGAACATGCCCTCTCGAGAAGAGAACACGACATCCTGTTCGCAAACACTGAAATACTATCTACCACTAATTACTGCCTCACCAGATTGCAAGGGGAACCTATTGAGATTTTTGCAGAAGCTGGAGCGCCTGATCAGCCAGCGGCCGGGGAGAAGGGGCAGACCGCTGCCCCTCATCATCGCAACGCTGGAAGACACGGAGCGCCCGGTGGCGCTCTGCGAGGTAACAAGCATTCGGGGGCTCCGCGTGCGCGTGGAGGTGTATCACCCGCCGCGCGGGCCCACGCAGTGCCGCAACTGCCTGGATTTCGGGCACGTGGCACGAAATTGCAAGCGCCGCACGCTAGGGGAAAATCCCTCAGTGGAAGAGCGCAAATGCGCAAATTGCAGCGGCGAACGTCACGGCGCGAAATATAAGGGATGCCCCGAGTATACGCGCCGTTGTTGCAGGGGTAACAGCAGGGCCCAGCAGCAGCGGCAGGAGAAACTCCAACGGGACCGCCAGCGACGCGCCCGCATCCAGGAGAGGAGAGCGGCCGACACGCAGTCGGAGGCGTCGCGCTCTCCCTCGCGGGAGCGGGAGCCTTCGCGCCGCCGCACCCCTACGCCGCCACCGCGGCCTCAGCGTTCGCCCAGACGCGAACGCCGACGCGCGCAACGGAAGCAGCGACGCCAGCAGTGGACGTACGCTGACGCCCTGGAGCAACGCCCCCGCCCCACCCGGGAGCGCCAGCTGACGGCCGCCGACGCAGCTCGCGAGGAGCGCGATGCGCGCCTGGAGCGGAGTAGGCGGGCGGCGGCGAGCGTCCCTGTTCCCTCCTCACTGAGCGAGCAGAAGCGCGTGCTGCACCAGGCGGTGGACGATCTCGCCCGAAACGGGATCGCCCCGGACGTGGTTACGCAAGCTATAATGCGATCCGTCACCGGATGCAAGCCAGCCGAGTGGGCGCCGGTCATGCTCAAGGCTGTGATAACAATACTTCTTGAACATGCACATGACACCGCTGCGGCGGAAGCAACGGGGGAGGAACGCTCATCCTCACCTGCACCACATCCTTCCCACCCTTAAATAATGGCTAGCTCCATTTTTTTACAGGAACAGCGGCACCGTTGCATTTTGGAACTGCAACGGCATCTGCTCGCGAGAGAAGCAGTCAGAGCTACACAGCTTTCTCGCTCGGCACAATATTTCTGTAATGATGTTGGGGGAGACATGGCTTAACCCGCATCTCTTTTTAAATATTCCAGGTTTCTTCTGCTACAGAAACGACAGGGCAGCACAAGCAGCGAACGTGACAGACGCCCACAGAGGAGGCGGGACCGCAATTCTAATAAGATGCAACATAAATCATTATGTTACAGCACTTCCGCAGCTGCAGCACGCGTCTCATCTCCATCTACGCACGCCCCGACCGCACCGCGGACACGTGCGCCTTACTAGCTGCAGACATGGCAAAACTAGTAGAGGCTAACACAACTCCAACACTTGTGGCTGGCGATTTTAATGCCAAACACACGGCCTGGAGCTCCCGTATTACCTGTCCCCGCGGCCGTAAGCTGAAAGCAACTGCCGATGCAAATGGCTGCGAGATATACGCACCCAATACGCTCACCTACTATTCCTTTAGAACGAACTGCAAGCCCGATACTTTAGATATTGCGCTAAGCAGGAAACTTCATTACCCTCCCATATTAACTACCATTTTCGAACTCTCCTCTGACCATTTCCCAGTGATAGCGGATATGAGGCGCGGTGGTCTAACCCTGTCGACTGCACCCACGACGCAGAAGAGGCGGATCGGATGGAAGAAATTCCAGACGGAGCTGCAGCAGCGCATACCCGATGCATCTGCCCTGTCAGGACCGCAGCAGATAGAAGCGGAGCAGCCTAAACGCAGCAGCGGAGAAGCAGCGTTCTAAAACGGAGCAACATTAACCCTTTTTCTATACTATTTTACCAAATCTTATTCGCAGAAAAAAAGAACCGAGCATTGTGGCAGACGCAGCGCGACACGCCAGCTGATAAGCGGGAGCTAAATCGATTGAACGTAAAAGTAAAAATCGAATTAGCTGAATATCGCAATCAGAAATGGACAAATTGCTGTCAGGTCTCAACCTGAGGAAATTCACAGTGGCGAGTCACTCGCATGCTTCCAGGAAGCCATAACGGTGCCGCGCTTCATGACCAGCACAGGAGAGCTCGCAGACCTCAACGAAGAGAAAGAGGAACTATTAGCTAATGTCTTAGAATCTCAGTTTCAGCCGGTCCAGGAGGCGCCGGCGATACCGCAACGTTGTCGAAGTAAAACAAACGGTAATGGCGGCCATGCACGCGCGCGACGAGCGAGTTTCGCTACAGAGACTGAAGTAAAAGCGGCCATCTCGGAGCTGAAAACTAGACAGCTCCTGGCCCCGACGGCATCTCTAACGACGTCCTGAAGAAGCTGCGCAGCAGGCCATAGTGTTTTTGTTGAACTGTTTAATGGCTATATTTATGTTTCAGCATTTCCCGAGTCAGTGGAAACACGCACATGTTCTGACTTTTCACAAGCAGGGGAAAAATCGAAAAAGCCGCGAGTCGTACAGGCCCATTAGCCTACTAAACACGGTCGGAAGCTTTGTGAAAAACTAATGCAAAACAGAACTTAAAATTTGGTTACCGAAAGCACTATTAAATAAGGAGCAGTTCGGCTTTCGCGCAGGACACAGAACAACGCATCAGCTTGTGCGAATCACGACCCCATAAGACGCAACTTCAACGAGCGCCGATTTACAGGTGGAGGTTTCCTCGATGTTGCCTGGTCTTTGATAAGGTCTGGCACGTCGGCCTCCTCTACAAATCCACTCCATGAACTTTCCTATGTACCTTATACACTTATCCACTCGTACCTAGCAAACAGACGTTTCAAGTGACGCTTCTGATGCCAAATCACCCGCCGCGCCGTACGGGCCGGAGTGCCGCAAGGGAGCGGATTGCTCTACGCTCTTCAGCCTTATGTGCCGTGATATTCCCACCACCCTCAAACACAGCTCGGCTTGTATATGCAGACGATACGGCTATATAGCCACGTCAAAAAGTATGGACCTTTCTCCAGAAGTACTTGGATCACATTTGTTACAGATCCATGAGTGGCTGAAATTGTGGCGGTCAAAGTCAATGTGAGTAAGAGTGAGCTGTACTTCTCACACGGAGACAGAGATTCACGCGCCAAGGCCATCGCGCTATGCGGAGATGCGATTAATTGGACAAAAAACGTCAATATTTAGGAGTTCTTTAGACAGCTCTTTGACATTCAATCCCACATAAAAATGTACGACAGAAAGCGCGGCAGACCCGAGGCAGATTGCGAAGCGTGTTTATCAGCGGAGCAAACTGTCAACGGCCAACTGCTCAGCGCTTATAAAGCAATAATTAGGCCGCAAATAGACTACGCATGCCCAAGTTGGGCAATCGCAGCAAATTATCTCTTAAACAAACTGCAAGTAGTTCAAAACGAGTGTCTGAGGGCCGCCCTCTGCGCCCCTAGATATACTCGTTTGAAACTTTACATCGCAAAGCATCAATGCCACTGCTAAATAAATCATATAAAAACTATAGTTAAAACTTCTTTGAGAAAGCAGCTGACTCGGAAAATGATCTCATTTCCGCGATCGCCTCATACCAACCCGATCAAATAGGGCGAGTAAAGGCGACGGAATATATTGTGAGTAAGAGCAATCTGAAACACAAGTGGGACGGAGGCATAAACATAGTATTTACAAAACACGCAATGCGGCGGCCGGTAGGCTAAAGTCAATTTTTAACTTTTGTTTTCCTCGTTTATGTCTAGGATAGAGCCATAGGATGGCTCCGTAAGGGTAGGATATGGTGCGCGCATCGCGCCTGCGGTTGGGCGTGGAAACGCGCATTGCACTTTTTCGTGCGTTCACAAAACTGCACAAATGTACTGCTTGGCGTAACACCAATGGGTTACATATATAGTTTAAGCGTAAATGTGATAGTGAGTGAATAAACAGATAAAATAATGAAGAAGAAGAAAGAACATTTTAGAGAACTTATAAAACTTTATTTACCTTGTATTATAACTAGAATAGGCTCAAAGTGACATATGTATTAGTTATTAAGTTTAAGTTATAAGTTAGTTTATTTCAGTTAGGCCATTTCTACAGCTGCAAAAGCCTAATCCGCTGCAGCGAAAAATGTACCTCCATTTTAAAAATAAACTCCCACCTCTCCAGGGCAACGCCCGAACACTGCGCCCGTGCCCCTGAGGACGTCCACCGCAGGCGAAATGTTTGGCCTTTCAATGCCAACTGAACCATGGCCTACCAGCCCGCAAACTTGATCTTCTATTGACTTCGGCCGAGAGCCTACGATGCTATATGACGAAACTGTAGACGTAAGTGCTCTGTGCGAGGAACGTTAACTGCACGCGAGTGCATTGAAAGTCAGAAGGCGGGGGCGCGTGCCTCCACGCATGCGCATACCAATCTCTTCCGAGAATTTCACAAGGCTTCACACACAATGTGATAAGAAGTCGGGTACTAAGTATCTAGTTGCATTACAGAGCCTCTGAACGAAACATTTTGTTAATCACATTATCAAATCGCCATAATCTATTATTGTACCTTCCATACATTAATTAATATGAAAAATTATTCAATCACTATTTCCACACTGATTTATTAATAACTCAAGTTATTGAAATGAGTGGTTCATCTCAAAAATATATTTTATTTAATATTTTATTTAAAGGTAGCAAATACTTCATTTAAAGGCTTGTTATTAAATAACAAAACAGTAGACTCTCCGTGGCTGAAGTCCTAAGGGTAGACTACACAATCACTAACAATTGATACAATGAGGTATAGAATTCACACAAATCGCTTCTACAAGGTCTATATTTAGCTTTTTAATTATCCCAACGTGAACATTCAGCCTGAGCCCAAGATTTACATATGTAACACTGATACCATAATCTACCTCATCATCAGACACACACATGCACATTCATACCACATCATCCACGTAATCGTGAGTCACATCATAAGGAGTCTATCCAAGTGCTGTCTCATCAGTTGTTGAGAAATTCAATTCAAGACACCGTTTCACTTGAATTGTTATCTCTTCTGGAACCGCTGTATTCATTGCTTCCTTATCCCGCATTTCCCTTTCACATTTCTAATGTGCGTTCGTGGCACATTGATGTGCATTTGATGAACACCTAATAAACACCTGAAGTTCCTAAAGAAGAAATAGCCATAATAAAATAAAAGAAAACGATAATTATAATCCAAAATTAATTATAAAATCTATATGACAAAAAGCATGCTATTAAAATATGTCGAATAAAATAAAGTTTCGAACTTCTTATCTTAGCAGCATTGCTGCTCGTCATTTTGGTTTGAAACAACCGTCTTCAATACAAGCAACCTACCAATTACATATTTTGCACGTTTTAAGGTGTATCTTCGGAATATGCCTAGGGGAAACTAAATTAATTTCAAAATTAATTTTGTGAAGACTAAAACTGACCAACTTCACTTTCCAAATCGCTTTCGTATCCATCGTAGTTCAGTGGGCACACTGAACTGTCTTTTTCACTTGAGGTATTTTTCTAGCCACCAGAGAACTCTCAAAGCTAGAGTTACCAACAACGCTCATGTGAAAGAAAGGGCACTCGATAAGAACACGCACATGAACACACTTCTTTTTATAAATAATTAATTTAGACTAACATCGGCTCTATTTATTTCTCCTCTTCATTTGCGATTCAAGTGAAAAGATGCCATAGCTGGCTGAAGGGGACTCATCGTTAATGATAAATGATAAGAGACTCTCAACACTTCTATTTTATTCGTTATACGCCTTGGATGTTCAGTAAGACCGGAGCGAGCGACGTTGTCGCCACGACTGTTTTGCGCCGAATGACAGATTGATGCGACCCTAATTCGAAAATCACTGAGAGACACTTTATATTAATGTTCTATGATTTATTGATTATTACTACTAGTGTTGTTATTGTTACTATCGTTGCTATTAATGCTATTTTACTATAATTACTTTTGTTACAATTGCTATTACTTTAATATTATGTGACTAGTACTAAGTGCGAGAATGTACATGGTGTTGTAGCACCTTTAGTTTACTGTCTTGCTGTTCTTTGTAAAAATATCTGCTTAGGGGGCTCAGGTATTCAACTGATGTCACTGCAGTGCCTCTGAGGTCTTAGGAGTCAAGTCCCGACGGTGGCAGGCAATTTCGACACCAGAAACGTCGTATTCAGCCGTTCTCTGGCTCTCTGAGGACAATTCTAGCGGCCGGCTGCTCTTAACTGTAGTGTTCGACCAATACCAGGCGAATGCCGGAGCAGTATCCTACAACTGGGCTACTGATCATTCGCGATCTTTCCTTCCTCTTCCTTGTCCTATCCTCACCCTTTACACACACACTTGCGTGCACTACACAACCACACATCACGCTCAAAGACCAAAAGATGTCTGGAGACGTAGTTGCAAAAATAAGGGGAACAACATTTTAAAAAATGTAAATATTAACGAAATGTTGCTCAGTTTTATAAGTTTCGATGAAGAATGTTTCAATTTGCATCCTTCAGTAAAGACTTACTCTTTTTCATAGTGTTCGGCAAGGTAATGCCAATGCATTGGCATATTGCACGTTTTTATGTGACAATATCGTGAATTGTATTTACTAGGCTGTCCGGGTGACGCCGCGTCCATGGCGAAGGTGCCGACGTTTCGGTCTCCATTCTGTGACCTTCCCCAGGGCGTAATGCGCTACTACCTAATGCATTACGCCCTGAGGAAGGTCGCAGAATGGCGACCGAAACGTCGGCACCTTCGCCATGGACGCGGCGTCACCCGAACAGCCTAGTAAATACTGACTCCAGCCGCGGAATCCTACGGTCTCATCGTGAATTGTGTTCTCTACTGCAATGAAATTTAATGAGTCCCTCTAGTCTTATTTCCAAAATATTTCGTCAATATTACCCGACGTCTCTTTCACATCTGCCACGAAGGGAGGGCGAAAAGTTGGTGCCACTTGAAACCGATGGTGCTACAAAACGACACAGGCTCTCTCGTACTCGTTACGTTTCCTTATCTCATGGTCGGGGTTAGCCTTTCGTTCCCCCGCTTCCCATCTACTATTTATCAGCGCTTAAAAGTTATTTGTTCAAATTTCCCCTAATTTTTGATACCCTAATGGTTGAATGAAAAAGAGTAAGAATATAGAAGACTATAACGTGACCATCATGTAATTTTTATTCGAAAATTTTCATCCGTTTTTGAGAAAACGTCGTTTGAGCCTTACTAAAAATGCAATGAAACGCAACATTTTTAGTTCATTTTACAGAAAGCGTATGAGATTTCGAGAAAATCAATTGGAAAACATTTGAAGTATTTGTACTCTTTTATGCAATAGTGCATAAAAAACATCTGTCAAAGTCAAGGGGTCGACGTAACGTGTCCGAGGCACTCTAGATAAATTGGATTATTTTTCTCAATTCATTTTCAGTGTTTATAACAGAGTGTAAATAAAAAATAAAAAAATAAAACAAACAAACGAAAAGTCAGGAAACAATAAGATGAAGTGGCATTGATTTAAAGATGCAGGTTCGGAGCCGGCGTGGTTCGCTGCACGTTGAGGCCTTGCAGCGAAAGGATCCGCCCGCCCTGCCCTGATGGAAGAGGCGGGGGCGGGGGTGAGGGCGGAAACGTTACCCGATCCGCCTCTAATGGCGCGACCCTAATTGCGCCCTCTGCTCACAGCGTCTCTACAACCAGCGCTTGCGACAGCCTGCGAGTGAATTGGAACAGGACACGATTTATGAAGCTCCCTTCTTGCAATATTTAAATGCGAATGCGTGGTGTGAACAAAGAAGAAATATGAGTCTGAGAATTATTTGCATCATATTCATCATCGCAGACATCGCCTTTAGCCGTCGCCGTAAAATATTTTACTGTCTGAAAAAATATTCATCTGAAGTGTACCCTGTTTGTTTTCTCACCAAAAGACATTGCGTGTGTTGCACATATTGCTATTCTGTTTGCATGTCTTTCAGCTAGTGTTCGAATCTCGCTGAAGTCCGTATCCCGCTAATTCCAGAAATGATCAGGTAATGTTCACATTATCCAATATGTGGAATGTGTTAATTTGAACTTTATCCAAAATTATTTCGTAGGTTAGCCGGATTATGTTGACATTAGCCAACATGAAGTTATGGTAGATTAAGCACATTACTGTGAAAACGAGCAGCAGAAAATCTATACTAATATATAAAGACACAAGGTCTTTGAGTTACAGCGCGGTAATCTCTTTATGTACTGGACGAATAGCAATGAAACTTATGTACTAGCTTTCTTTGAAGGTCAGGAGTGCTCTAGGCTATGATTTACAACCATAAACCTTCATATATTCACAAAATAATTACTTTTCTGGCCGTTTTTCGCCAAGCTTGCATCGTAGATTCAAGAATTCATCAATGTGCAATAGTTTGGCTGCGCACCACGAGGGGATGACTACTGAGGCCAACGATTCAGTTTTTCAATCCACACAATTGCTTATATCTGTAGAATAGCTCAGGAGTTTGTTGAATCTTTCTTCAAATGCTTAATGCGAAATGTTATATTTAGAATGGTTCTGACTGTTTTCTTCATTCTATTTATAAAAGTAACTTGGATATGGATTTTAATTGTGTCTAGACGTGAATATTTGAAGTGTACAAGAAAGAGTTGCGAGTTGGGCGAATGGTTAATGTGTTAGATTGAAACTGTGACAGATGGATGAATTTTTGTAGGGAAGTGTTTTATTACAGTGGAGAATGGCTACCTGTTACTGATGAATGAATAATTATTAAAATTGATGGAAGTTCGACAAGACGTATTATTGAAGTAAAAGAATAGTGAGAAGACAAAAGAAGAAGAAAGGAATTGAATGTATGCCAACACTGTTTTTCTAGGTTGTGGAAAATATAATTAAAAAGAGCTTTTAGATAACAGAAAAACCTTGTGATACCGGGATCCACTGTGTGATCTCAAATTTTTTGGTGATATTATAATTGTCTGTGGTGATATTATAATAGCTCCTTTCCGTCTACCACTATTTATCAAGAACTCTAAAACACGAATAGAATTCACTTCAAAGCACTCCTTTTATATTTATATACCAATTGCTCGGCGTGATGTCGAAGGTCAATTACAAATTTTACATTATGAATATGCTAGAAGAAAATATGAAAGAATAAGTTTTACAATATAGCACCATATTTTAAGTATGGAAATAATACATAGACTTCCAAATTACAGTTTATAAACATTTTTCTGAGAAACTTAGTAAAACAGGGTATATC